ATTTAAAAAGTACTTATCTGCATGGCAACGCAACTTCAACATTGTTAAAGTGTTATCAATTGTGCAACTGTTTAAAACCAAACCAACACCCCATTGAAGTCCTCTTGGAATAGGATATTTTATTTCAGGCACAGTAGATTGCTCATTCTGCTTTATACTGAAACTTTGAGGATATTGAATAAACAAGTTTTGGAAGATCACTTTTAACTGGTTTTTCAACTAACATCTCTATAGAAGCATAAGGAGAAGAAATACTGTTATGATCTTTGTAATGTATTTCAGTTTCTTTTATATGCTTTACAATGTCATCTGGTAGGATGATTTGATTAGCGCTAAGTTCATCTCTTGATCTTAACATAAAGGCAAACTCATCACTTAACTGATACAAACCAACATTATAGTATCCCTTTTCAACTTCTCTGTGAAAATAGGCACTGAGATAATTCATAGCTAAAATGCAAGAGTCCATTTTTGTTATTTTGTTGTCAATAAGATCCTTAATAACTTTATTTAAAGACTCTGACGCATTATTGGTAACACCAAAGTTTGGGTACTTTATCCCTTCTTCTGCTAAAACAAATGCAGCAGCACGAGAAATAACATCAGAGTGCATGTATTGAATGTAGTTTTTTTGAAATTTTTGATCATTCCAAGGGTTGATATTTCCTTTCGTTAGACTTTTAAGTCTTGATTCATATTCAAAAACAGAATTTGATCGAAGAATGTATTTCATGGCTTTTACAGCTTCATCATACTCTGATGATGAAAATTTACCATTCTTTCGCATCCATTCCTTTACATTTTGCAATAAATGGTTCCAACATACCAAACTTTTTGTATTATCAAAATAATGGGAGCCATCAAACTCACGATCAGAAATGAATAACTTCCTGGATTTATTAAAATTTTTTCCGCAAACATTTTCTTTTAATGTTTGAAAAAAGTATTTGTGATTTTGTGCTAATCTTTTTTCATGTATAAAAAATGCAAAAGGAACAGTAGGCGAAGAATATAAGTATTTATTCCTTTTTGTTTCCAAACAAACGTGTCGATAAGCTAAGCATGACAAATAATAATTTCCTAAATTGAAAGTTGTGTCATAGTGAAGTGTAATTTCTTTACAAGGTAGTAATTCTAACATTTCTTCCATTTGTGCAACAATTTTTTCACAACACATAACAATACAGATGTCTGGGTAGCTTTCTATTTTTCGAACAAATGGATGAATGGAATACGCAACAAGATGACTATTCCAAACCTCATCCTTATTATGAAAATTATTTTTTTCAGCATTTCTTGTCATAATATTTGCAACCTGTTTAGGATTTCTTGGAATAATAGAAGTTGAAATATGACCACCTGGGTCATTTGATAAAAGGCTCCTATATGCATCCATGGGTTTATTTTTCCCTTGAGCCAAAACTTGATCAAAAACATAATGCGATGATCTGTAAAAAAAAGATTTTGATTTTGTTGAATTTCCATGACATTGCTTTTCAAAATTGTTAGTATATGTTTTACCAACTCTTGCGTAAAAATATGTCTTAGTGATTAAACCATTTCCTAATGCACAACTTTTTTTGTTCCTCCACATATAGCCATCTGCTCGCAAATGCTTTTTTAATGTTTTGTCACTGGAAATTGTAAACCCATAAATTTCTCCTGCTTTGGGACGAACAGGTATAGTTTCTTCTCCATTATTAAAATAAGTAGCATTTTGTAATAGAGTCAGAACTTCATTAAAGGTAAGTGTCTCTGTTTTTTTAGTTATGGCAGGATTTGCTGCAGTTATGTTCAAAGTTGCTTTTGAATTTTTTGATGTCACAGATTTTTCTGATGTCATGGAAAGTGGAATAAAAACTTTGTCAGAAGTTTCATTATGCATATTAACCTCAATTACATTTTGATCTTTAAGGCTCGCATTTTTATTTAAATAAGCTGTTGATGTTTTATCATTGATTGTATTAGAATAAGATTGATCAACAAGTATTATTTGCAATGCATAGTTGTGGTCATTTTGAAACACAAATAGAAATTGGTGTCTGAAACTTTCTAAATGTTGAAGGGAATATTTCTGCTCATAAAACAAAGATCTTTCTTGTTGGTTGGCCATAAATTTGAATTTTGAGAAAGAAATGTTCTTTTTCATAATTTTCAATTTTGAGATTCATTCAAAGAGACAAAATATAATTCAGAAAAAAATTGGTAATTTTTTTTGTTGATAAATTTAAGTAAAAAAATAACAATAAAGGTAATAAAAATAATATTAAATACTTAGTAAAAACAAATACACATTAAAGGCATACATAAATTAAATTGTTATGGTAAAAACTGTCATATTTATTTGGGAAAATTTTTGTAAATGTTCTAATCTATCTAAAAATTATCATCTACATCTTAAAAATTTAATAAAACCTACATCTTATTATGATTTCCAAAAAAACATAAAAAAAGTTTACACTATTCTATTAGCTTCATATTAAAATTGATTAAGATATAGGTCAATTTATTTTATCTTTTCTCAGAAAACTACATTCTAATTAACAATTTAAAAACATTGCCATAATCTTATCAACTCCAGATTAAATTTATTTAAAAACATAAATAAAAACTTGTATGTGTAACAAGTGAAGACTTTGCAATGTTATGCAAAAATAGTGTCACAATTCAGAGAACTAATGAAAGTTTTGCATTCTAAAAAAAATGTTAATCCACTGGAAACTATGCGGATTAGAAATTACTTAATTTCAGAATCAAAAACTAATAAAGGAGTAGTTAAATTTCACAAATCTTTCATATATATATATATATATATATATATATATATATATATATATATATATATATATATATATATATATATATATATATATATATATATATATATATATATATATATATATATATATATATATATATATATATATATATATATATATATATATATATATATATATATATATATATATATATATATATATATATATACATATATATACATATATATATATATATATATATATATATATATATATATATATATATATATATATATATATATATATATATATATATATATATATATATATATATATATATTAGCATTATTAACAAAATAGTAAAAATTACTGAAAAAACTGATGCTAACATTTAAAAATATATAATACAAGGGTTGAATTAACGCATCGCGATTTGCGATATCTGTTAAATTATCTGGTCTTCAAAGTTTCAGTTTATGGAAAACCACGAAATTTACGGAATAGGCGAATAAACTTTAATTTGTTAGTGAAAATGTTATGAAAAACAAAACAATAAATTTATTACTACAAAAGTAATAACACTACAGTGTTGTTACTTTTATAACACTCTTTTAAGTTACATTTATAGTTTATTGTTTGATCAAACAACACCTAATCAAGATATTATAAATAAAAATGATTTAGTTAAGTAATTCCAAACTTTAATTAAGGTAGTAATGCATCTAAAAAAAATACAATGGCTATTTAAACAATGTTAAAAGCCTCAGCAACTTTTACGTATACATATTTTTATAAACAGTTTAGCATTTTTAAACATCTTACAAACGGTCCGGAAAAAACGCGCGTTCACTTTAAAATCAACCAATGAAAACACTTCTTAGGAGATATCTATATTAAAAGGGGAGGGAGGGGGGGAGGCTAAAAACTTAAAATTTGTTTTATTATTTAATCAATTAAATCATAATAAAAGTAAAGACAAAAAAATATATTTCTTAATATACTACTTTATAAGTAAAATTTATTAAATTGAACACCTCTGTTTTTAGTTTTAAGTAAATGTCAGTACTTCTCTCAGCGGCGAAACTGCGGGAGGGAGGGGGGGGGGAAGAAGGAGGGGGCTTTGGTTAACAGACAAAAAGTGTCCTGATTTTAAACTAATTTTACATTGCATGGGCGATATGGGGCTGATTTTGAAAATCGTGTTATTTGTTTATAACAAGTCACTTTTTATAAAGAAAAAACTATATCTTAAAACAAAAATTCAGTGAAAATTGGCCTTAAAATTAAAATATATATATATTGGTAACTGATAAATAATAAAACTTTCATTGTAAATCCTCCCGCTTTTTTTTATTATTTCCTTCTCCCATTTTATACATCCTGACTAAAATTCTCACCCCCATCTACCTTTGTATTAAGCACATTAGAGTAGTCAGTAACAAAATCCCCCCCCCTCCGCACGATTTTTAAATTGAGCCCCATATCTCCCATGCAACCTAAAATTAGTTTAAAATTAGGACTTTTTTTGTCTGCTCACCCCCCTCCCTCCCCGCAGTTTCGCCACTGAGAGTAGTACTGACATTTACTTAAAACTAAAAACAGAGGTGTTCAATTTAATAAATTTTACTTATAAAGAAGTATATTTAGAAATATATTTTTTTGTCTTTACTTTTATTATAATTTAATTGAATAAATAATAAAACAAAATTTAAGTCTTTAGCCTCCCCCCCCCTCCCTCCCCTTTTAATATAAGAAGTAAATTACCAGTGTTTTTATTGGTTGATTTTAAAGTGAACGCGCGTTTTTTCCGGACCGTTTGTAAGATGTTTAGAAATGCTAAACTGTTTATAAAAATATGCATTCGTAAAAGTTGCTGAGGTTTTTAACATTGTTTAAATAGCCATTGTATTTTTTCTAGATGCATTACTACTTTAATTAAAGTTTGGAATTACTTAACTAAATCATTTTTGTTTATAATATCTTGATTATGTGTTGTTTGATCAAACAATAAACTATAAATGTAACATAAAAGAGTGTTATAAAAGTAACAACACTGTAGTATTATTACTATTGTAGTCATAAATTTATTGTTTTGTTTTTCATAACATTTTCACTAACAAATTAAAGTTTATTCGCCTATTTCGTAAATTTCGTGGTTTTCCATAAACTTAAACTTTGAAGACCAGATAATTTAACCGATATCGCAAATCGCGATGCGTTAATTCAACCCTTGTAATAGTCATAGTAGTAGTCAAACTGTAGCTGCGTTAACAGCAAGTGAGTTAGAAATTTAATTTGACAGCTTTTGAAAATATACTGCAATATAACTTATATATAACAAAATATAACTTTCAATAATATAATGCAAAAGATGAATAGTTTAAACAAAAAAAAATTTTTAAGTTAACTTTTTTGATACTAAATATTTGTCTAATTTTCTCTTGAAACTGTTTACATTTGTTTACTTGATAACTTCCAATGGCAATGTGTTCCATAAATTTTCTGTTCTGTTTATAATAAATTCATGCCTAGAAGTTTATTTTCCAATTTTAACAAATTATTAAACTTCATATACTAATTCTTTTTTTTTCTATACAGTAACGAACTCTCTTCTCACTAGACAGTTTTACAATAATAATTTGAATAGAACATACCTTTAGGTACCTTCCTTCATATACAGCACTTTGCAAAGCTCAAAGCTTCTCCCAATGCTTGCATTCCTTGTCATTTTTCTAAACATAAACAAACAAGCAAAAAAACAAATTAGAATACTTATTAAGACTTCATTGAAGTTTCTTCAACAAGCTTTATTGAATTTTGTTGCTAAACTAACTACTCTATATTTACTTTCAATAAAATAAATATGTTTAGCAATCGTTTTAGCTTATAAAAGGAAAGTATGGCTGTTAAAAGTACTTGAGGTTTGTCAAACTGATGGGTCAACCATACTATTAAAACATTAAAGTTTAATGTCTTAATATTTGTTAGCTAACACAGATTAAAGATTAATTAATCTTTAATCTGTGTTAGCTAACACAAAATAAAGAAACAAATAGAAAGAAAAACAACGAAAATTTTACTATTTCCTATTGTTGTGATAACAGATTTTTATCTTACTGTGCATGTTTAGCATTAGTGACAGGCTTTCCCCTTATTGTGCAGCTTCCGCTAAACTTACTTTATTGTTGCAGGCCACTATTATTTTGGTATACAACACATAGATGGCATAGCAATACAAAACTTATTGCTACATTATATTTTTTAATTTTACATGTTTTGAATTTTATAAAATTCAAAACATTAATTTAAACTAATAATGCGGGGGTTGACTACCGGTTGTTCTTTGCTCGCATTCCGTTTTTTATTCTGTTACTCCAAGATGGTTTTTCGGCATTTCGGCTTTTCGGCGTTTTAGAATTCGGCGTTTTAGAAACTCTCATAAAATCAATGACGTAAATAAATAACTAATGTCTAACTTCGGGATTTTTATAAAATAAAAGTGAAGCCGATTTATTTGTTTACTATTTTAATCAGCCATTATTATATCGGGCAGAAAACAGTAAATATCATATATAATATAGAGAGTAAATTCGCGACATAATTTCTTTTACCTTGCTGAAGTATTTATTTAATTCAACTATTTTCATCACAAAATGGTAAATTCTTGTGCTGCATATGGATGTTCTAATAGATACATAAAAGGTGGCAAGAAATCCTTTCATAAATTTCCTTTTCAAAATTCTGAATTATGTAAAAAATGGATTATTGCTTTGAAACGTGAAAATTTTTTTCCATCCAAACACACCTGTATCTGCAGCGACAATTTTTTAGAATCAGACTACAATTACTGTATCCCAGACAAAAAAAATCTAATTCATGATCATTATCATAAGCCTATTTTAAAATGTAATGCTGTGCCATCAGTTTTTGTATTTTCTACAAATATTCAAAAGACTAAAAGGAAACTCCCATCAATACGAACATCAGTAAATTCATTATCTAAATTTGATTCTTTTTCGAAAAAAACAAAGTTTGATGTTTGCCCTGTTATAGACAAACCAAGCAAAGAAATTAATTCAACACATAATGATCAGCCAGAAAGCACTATTGAACAAAATGACCATACTAGTCAATCTCCAACACAATCTATAAAATCTTTATCACCAGCAAAGGAAAAATTAAAAAAAAAAAGTTAAGGTTTTACAACAAAAATTAAGAAGAAAAGAAAAGAAAATCTGCTCTTTACAAGACATGGTTTCCCTTTTAAAATCTAAAAATTATTTGACTACTGATGCTGGAACTGTTTTAAGCGAAAATTTTTCTGGACTCTCATATGAAATTATTAAGAACCAATTTTCCAATCAAAATATTAACCCAAAAGGTCGCAGATACAACGATGGAGTAAAAAAATTCGCTTTAACTCTTCATTTTTATTCTCCTCGTGCGTATAACTTTCTTCGGCCAATGTTATGTCTTCCTGCTGCCAGTTCAATATCACATTGGACATCATCTGTAAATTGTGATCCCGGTTTATTCCTTGATGTTTTTTCATATCTTGGTGATAAAAAGAAAACAGATATTAATTTTAAGCATTGTGCTCTTATTATTGATGCTATGGCAATCAAAAACAGTATAATTTATGACAAAAGTTCAGGTCACTATATTGGTTTTTGTGATTTTGGTAAAGATATTTCTGTATGTGAACCTGATACTCCAGCTACAGAGGCATTAATTTTTATGTTAGTTGGTTTGCGAGGACATTGGAAAACACCCATTGGTTATGTTTTATCAAATAAAGTTAAAGCAAGTGATTTAACATGTTTTATCAAAAATATTTTAGATGTGGCTTTGACATATGAACTTTGTATCAAAAGTATTACATTTGATGGTACTAGTACAAATTTAAATTCCGTTGTCCTATTTGGATGTAAGTTTGGCAATGTCATAGACAATATAGTTAGTACTTTTTTATATAACAACCAACTGCTCCACATTTTCCTAGACCCATGCCATATGCTTAAATTAGCTAGAAATTCTCTAAATGATTTGGGTGTTTTTATTGATGATGAAGGCTGCTATATTAAATGGAGTTATATTAAAGCTTTGTTTGAGTTACAAGAGCTTGAAGGTTTAAAATTTGCAAACAAAATTTCAAGAAAACATATTGAATTTCATTGCTACAAAATGAATGTTAAGATAGCTGGCCAAACACTTAGCAGCTCTGTTGCTGATGCAATTGAATTTTTAATGGTATCGCAGCATCCATCTTTCTTAGGAGCAAGTAGTACAATCCGTTTTATAAGAGTTATTGATAAATTATTTGACATGCTCAATTCCAGAAATCCAAATGGTAAACACTTTAAGAAACCTCTATATCTAAATAATCAGCTTTATTGGAAAGATTTTTTAAACACTACGATTACTTATCTGAGCAAGTTGACTGATATTAATGGCATTCCATTGCTTTTACATCGAAGAAAGACATTTGTTTTAGGTTTAATTGTAGATGCTAAAAGCACTCTAAAATTATCCTTCGATCTGTTAACACTTCATGAGAAGCCATTTAAGTATGTTCTAACTTACAAATATTCCCAAGATCATCTTGAACTACTATTTGCTTGCATTCATGGAAAAAATGGTTACAACAACAATCCTGATGTAGTGCAGTTAAAATCATCGTTAAAACGGATTCTTTTATTTATGAATATTTCATTTTATTGTATAAAACTTTAATTAAAATAATAAAATATGTTATACGATGTTTTAGTTTGATGTTCTAAATGCAAATATGTTTTTAAATATATATTTTTGTGGCTATAAAAATAGCCGTTTGTTTTAGTTTGTTATAACAAACTTAACATGCTAACGTTAGCATGTCCAATCTTTGACTAACAAATATGTATGTATTGACTGTATGCTCACTAAATTGATCGTTTGTGATTCTAATCATCTTTAATTCCAAGAATAAGGACGTTAAAATTGCCAATATCTTTTTATAAGAATGTGATCGCTAAAAGTTTTTTGCCCGATATAATTCCGATTTAATTTGCCCGATATAATTTGCTTCCAACGCATTAAATTGGCTTCACTAAAAACGGCGAAGTTAGATATCTAGTTATTTATTTACATCATTGCATAAAATACATTGTTTTTCCGGACTGTTGTGGACCATATGTTTATAATTTTAATTCAGAACATGTTTATCTAAAACTTGGGATCTACCGAGAGCGCCAAAAGGCGTACTTCGGAGCGGAAAGGTTAAATCCAAACAAATCATCTTGAAATCATTTCAGTTCTTTTTTACCTAAAAACTTTTTAAATGAAATAAATATTTTTAAATTCTACTGTTACGTCAGAAAAGTTCTGATGGGCTAAAAAATTATTAAAAGCTGAAAATTAGGGGGTCCTAAAAAATTTGGGGACCCTAGGCCCGGGCTTTACGTGCCTTGTAGAAGATCAGGCCCTGCTTGCACCTTACACTTATATTATTCTGCTACTACGTCGCCCATACAAAAGATTCACATTTATGCTGTTTAGATTTATGCAGATTCGCAGATATGAGTATTAAAGGGGAATTCTATAAAATTCTCGTAGTATACGACTCTTTCTGGTTTGCATTTTAGTCTTAATGGCGATCAAATGGATTAGACTATTTGATTACATAAAATCATGAACACAAGGTCTATCAGAAGGTTGGGAGGATTTTCAGAAGGGGAAATTCAGTGGCTTTAATTTTTCTGAATTCTTTATAATATTGTAACATTTGTATATAATATGTATATATATATTTAAATATGTATACATATTATATACAAAGAATGTTTGTATATACATACATACATACATACATACATACATACATACATACATACATACATACATACATACATACATACATACATATATATATATTTGTATGTATGTATGTATATACAAACATACATACATACATATATATATATATATATATATATATATATATATATATATATATATATATATATATATATATATATATGTATATATATATATATATATATATATATATATATATATATATATATATATATATATATATATATATATATATATATATATATATATATATACAAACATTCTTTGTATATAATATGTATGAATATTTAAATATATATACATATTATATACAAATGTTACAAAATTATAAAATTAGGAACAATTTTTTTTATTGAAATATCTTTAAACAAGAATGGAAATCTAAAAATAAGAATCAAGTTTTTAAAACAAGAATCAAGTTCTTAAAATAAGAATCAGGTTTTTAAAATAAGAATCAAGTTCTTAAAATAAGAATCAGGTTCTTAAAATAAGAATCAGGTTCTTAAAATAAGAATCAGGTTCTTAAAATAACAATCAAGTTCATAAAATAAGAACAGATGTTCTTAAACTAGAATCTTGGATTTTGCTGTGTAAGAGCTATTTTTTCAAATGAATTCAATACTTTATCTGACTCAGTTGCAAACTGTGTTAAATATTGTAACTTGCAAAAAAAAGTTTGAAATATTCTTAAATTCATTTTTCTGTTCAATTGTTAAACTATCCAAATGTACTACAACTTTTGGTAACAAAATCTCCCTCATTTCTTTGAACTTAAAAAGTGGATTGACAGAACCAATATCTGAAATAGTTTTTTTTAAATAAACAAAATAATTTTTCAAATTTTTTCCCTGTATTTTGTTTCTCGAATACCACAAATATCAAACAATATTTATGTTAATAAACTCAAAGTTGATACAGTATTTGAGGCAGGCTTTTGTTTGTTGTTGTATATAATACTTTTTACTGTGTGGATTGTTTTGTATATAATACTTTACATTGTGTGGCAACGGAGAGAAGCTAAAATTTGTAAAAAATTTTCAGTTTCTATCCGTTGCTGGTTTTTATAGCTGATTTAAGTTTTTTTTTATTTTTACTTTAAAGAACATTTAACTGGTTACAGTAGTCTTCAGAAACTTTATTTAAAATGTAAATATTTTCAATTATGCGCATTAAAGATTTATTATTGATTTGAAGATTGTCTAGGTCTTTCATAAGATGTTTTTTCTTTTTCAAATGAGGTTGATTGTAAAAATAGTTGAAAATTGTAAATATATTTTTTCTAAGTTAACAACCTAACCTTATGAATTATCCTTTTCTATTTTAAAGATCAAACTTAGATCATTTTTAGCAACTTAGAAATACAAATCTCTATCCTGTATTTAAACAGGATAGAGATTTGTATAAACAGCAATTGATATGAAAATCAAAACCTTATAAACAGCAATTGATATAAAAACAAACTATATATCA